GCTAAGTGTCCACTACGTCAAATATTTCTATGTGACTTCTGAACTTCAGTTAGAGATGCCTGAAACAGACCTTTTCCAACCTGCTCCATCCAGTAAGCTCTTCCGTCCAATCCCCTTCACTATCCACATTCATACAAAACCCCAAATCAACGAACAGGTTAGTTCCAATACCACAGAACCAACTTCCTTCAGTATGGACACCTGGGGACTTGGTTTCTGGCTAAATGAAGGGATTTGTATGAGAGCTGGACACTCTGTCCCATGTAGGTGACCAGCAACAAAGCTCCAGACCTAAGCAGGGGCAGCAGGTTGGGATGTAAAGGTGATCACAATGTAGGATCTGACCTACAGAAAAAGTGGTGTGGCAAGTTTAAAGACAGTGCTTAGGGTGAGAAAAGTGGGAGGGAGCTGAAAACACAAACCCAGTTCCTGTCCTTGAGGTTTTGATTAGTTACTAAAGACAGACAAGAACACAGTGAAATAGGGGAAGTCTGTCCAGTACTCGTGTATTTCCTGAGAACGAACCCAAAGGAATGTGGCACAAAGAAAGCATATCAGAACTGTGAGAGAAATGGAAAACACTACGTGACGTAAAGTACTCATCACATACCAACCTGAAATTAGTATCATTTTAGCACATCTTTTTTGTTGAGACAGGGTCTCCCTGTGGCCCCAGTTGGCCTAGAACTTGCTACATAAACCAACTTGGCCTTGATCTCACAGAGATCTCTCTCTGCCTCTGCCTCCAGAATGCTAGGATTAAAGATGTGCAGCACTTTTAGAACTACTTTATTGATAAAGAAGCCAGACAATGTGGGGCAACAGGGTTTTGTGGGAAATTTGAATACATTATTGGGTCCTCAAGTTCAGTAAGAAATTTTCAAGTCTATAATACTAGTGTCTTTTGTAAAATGCCAAGTTTTGGTATCTATATAGTTTATGCAAGCTTCAAATACATACTGACATTTAATCTTACTATTTGATTTCTAACCATGCCTTCAATCATGTTTGATAGGATAAAGATAAATTAAAAAAAAATCAAGTTTGAATGAGTCTTGCCAATGGTCTACAGACTGTTTGTTCAGCCGAGTGAAACACGTAAACAAATAACTACAAATGCCACTGAGATGCAACTTGGTAAACAGGCAGTGCTTATTTAATAAGTACAATATGTACATAGAATTCTCTTGAAAAGCATCATTTTATACAGAAACATATTTACAGAATGCACAGTGTAATCCAAGATTATTTATATAATGAACACAAGTGTATGCTGGAAGGTAAACTAAACAAGTTTTATCACCACAGTCAAAACGGACAGCCATATGAATTTCAAAAGGAATTTCATTTCAGAAGAGAAATACATTTTAATATTCAACTAATTTTCCATTTATTTCCTTTTTCAATTATTTATCTTCTTCACCTTTGACAACTTTTAGGTTTCTAGTGCCACCAGCTGGTGCAAAGACTAATAATCTTAGCATCGATAAAGAAGGGTTTACTAAAAAAAAAAAAAAAAAAAAATTTACTGAAAAGCAGACTTGTGGAGTCAATATTCCCAAGGCATGAATGACATTTATAAAAAAGTCTTTACCAGGGCAACACATATCACATTTATAGTATTAATGGTTTCTATTTTTTCTTCTGGTCAATGTTGGCCTAAATTTCACATAAAAGTATTTAGAAAATACCCTGCAAACAAAATTTGGAAACCTTTATAACATGATCAGACACATCTTTAGGAGCACTGGTAACTTGCTAAATGGCAAAAATCCAATACCATTTTGTTGTCTTTGGATTTCCCCCATTCCAAAAATAATTTGGTGTTGGATGGACGTAGTGGTGCATGCCTTCGATCCCAGCACTTGGGAGGCCAGGGGCTGGCAGATCTTTATGGTCTACATAGCGAGTTCCAGGCCTGCTGTGGCTACAGGGAAACTCTGTCTCAAAAAAACAAAAACAAACAAAAAAAAAACCCACCTAAAACCCAAAACAAAAATAATTAGCATCAAACTGTGACATGTCAGGAAAAATGCAGAAGCACCTGAAAACTGCAATTTGCTCCCAGAGCTCCTGTTCAATGCCAGAGCATCATGCCAGGCTGAGATCTGTCTATGGGCTGTCCACTTACCCAAGATTATTAACCCTCTTCTCAGCCTGGTGATAAAGGACTGGCACGAACTAGAGGCCTGAAGACTCGCCTTGCTGTTTTCCTAAGACCCCAGGTTCCCAGAGGATGCAAAGTGCTGTCTGGTCTGTTCACTGAGACAGTAACAATAACTGAGGGTGCCTGGCAAGGGGTCTATTAAGCAAGTGTGTCTCTAAAATAAATTAGTAACACATGTAGTTTGATTGATTCACTTTAAATGGTTGTGTAGACACAAAACCAAAAACCCAAACCACCAATGTTCACTCTGTCCAAACTCACCACATTCAATCCTTAAGACTTTTAACAGACTCAGTTTGAAGTGGCAAGGGAAAAAGGGAGTCATGACAGCTGTTCACTTTCAAATTAAGACCTAGGAAGTGTATACATATACACACCATTTCTTGCTCAAAAGTATCAAAATATCATTAAATACCCAAAACAGCCGTTGATGTTCACAAGTAACAATGATCTCATATCCCACATTTCCCCCCACCACATATCAGATTTAGCATTTGCAAGGTCTGATTCTTTTCTTCACATATTCAATACAGTAATAGGTACAAGCCCCTCAAACTCTTACAACAGGAGCAGTAGAGAAACCGTTTTCTGATGTACAAACATTTTATACAATACTTTACTTAGTCCTGATCTACATACAAAAGGATGCAGGAGATACTGAACATAAATAAATAAATAAAACACTCTACTCCCTACCAAACTTTTCTAGCTTCTTAAATTCGTAAGGGAAAAAAGATAGTAACATAGTAAAAATATGGCTTTTAATAGCTCTTTTAAAATTGTTTTTATAATTAAGCTTCTCCAAGTAGATGGTGACAAAAATATTAACACTGGCATGTTCCATTTTGTGACAGATGTGGATATAGTTTAAAAAGCGCGCAGGTACAGGGCACTATGGATATGATCACTATTTGGTCTCCATTATACACTTTATGTCTTGGAATTTAAAAACTCACTGTAATTCATGAATCTTTATCACATGAGAAACCAGGGAAATTTAGTTATGCTGCCTACTCTAAGCAGACCTTTGGAGTGTTATAAGTATGTCTAGGAATAAATGGGAAAATAATTCAGATTTTATTGCA